CATGACAATTATTTAATCTCTATCATTAGGTGTGCAGCCTCCCTCTGGCACATAATATAATTGTCATGTTCGAAGAATGTAACACTTAGCTAAAAAGACTTATGAAAGTTATGAAGCTTAGTGAAATTATGTATACATGTGATAATATGTATGACAGTATGTATAGTGACGTATGATATAGTGATGTACAGTAACATTCAATTACCGGTCACATATTTATCACTGCAATAGCAGCATCAATGTCAATACGTATATATGGTCTTACCTGGCCCCCCGATCTCAATGGGGTGAAGAGCAAAGTATTGCTGGCAGACCTCCCGTATAAAGTTTTTCCAGTCTACGATAGTGCTGTAAGACTTTATTTCTAGCTCATGGGCTCTTCGATCCTGGCTAAGTATGTCGCTTACCCAGAAGTACATGAGTGAGACAATTTGCCACAGATGCAAATGGCTCCCTGAAAATGCAAAAAACGTTTTAGAATTTACACAGCGATAGAGTGTGATTACACCTTTAACGAAGCCATATTATTTCAAACTGGAAACACATACGTGAAAAAAAAGATCCTGTCCGGATATTTTTCACCCGGCGGCAGTTATTGACTTGTCATCTCCAAGTCACGCCTTCCTTGCATCTCATCTGCCACTCCACCATCTGCTGGCCATTTCATGCAACATTACTGCATTGCATGGTGGTTGCCAGCAGTCCATTTCCTCGCAGAAATGCGATTGTGCTGGGCACGTCCGAACAGTCAATATTTAACTGCCTCCATGTCTTTCCTGTGGAATTGCAATTAAACTTATAAGCCAATGCATGATTCCCCATCTATTCCTATTCCTCGTATACACACTAAACGTCTATGTGGCACCAAGTGTAGCATGACTGATTATAGCCTCGAGTTAAGCGTCTATACGGGGCCTTAACACGAGTTTCCTAAGGTAAGGCCCGGTATAGACGCTTAACTCGAGTTAGCGAATAGTACATAACTCCATGATAGGCGCCAACACTAGTACGATGTACGTACACACGCACGCACGCACGCGTACTTGCACACGCACGCACACACTCATGCACGCACGTGTACGTGCACACGCACACACGCACACATACACACACGTGTACCTACACACGAACACACGCACGTACGCACGTACGCACGCACGCACACGTGTACCTGCACACGCACGCACGCACGCACGCAGGAACGTGTACCTGCGCGCGCACGCACGCACGCACGTGTACGTACACACGCACGCACGAGATATGCGTATAATAGCCTATGGTTATTACAGCGCGTGCATAATTGCTAATTAATTAGGTTAATCGTGGGTCAATTAACACGAAACTCACAGTGATTATAGCTAAGACATGTATCATTATGCATGTAGAATTCTAGAAACGTAACTCGTACAGTTTGCGAGATATGATAGGTAAATACACTTTCCTACCGGTTAAACCCGTACTACAGGCCTGTATAAGCCTATCGGCTTGACCGTGCGTGCATATTTGCTAATTAATTAGGTTAATCGTAGGTCAATTAACTTGAAACTTACAGTGATTATAGCTAAGACATGTATATGTTAATGACGCGCGGTCAAGCCCATAGGCTATTATACGCATGTCTCGCGAAGGAGTCGAGTTATAATTCCAGAATTCTACATGCATAATGATATACATGTCTTAGCTATAATCACTGTGAGTTTCGTGTTAATTGACCCACGATTAACCTAATTAATTAGCAATTGTGCACGCGCGGTAATACCCATAGGCTATTATACGCATGTCTCGCGAAGGAGTCGAGTTATAATTCCAGAATTCTACATGCATAATGAGCTAATTAATTAGGTTAATTGTAGGTCAATTAACTTTGATACATGTCTTAGAAGTAATCACTGTGAGTTTCATCATATCTCGCGATCTATATGAGATACGTTTCTATAATTCTACATGCATAAGTGTATTTACCTGGGTTTAGCTGGTAGGAAAAAACCTTTACTACAGGCCGGTATAAGCCTTTCGACTTAGCTGTTATTCACGCGCGGTCAATCAATTAGGTTAATCGTGGGTCAATTAACTTGAAATAAAAAAATCGTATTAATAACATATATCTGTCCATTAAACTGCGTTGTTTAATATATTAACAATTCGCTGCTCAAGAAATGAATTGCCATCAACTAATACTACTACTACTACTACTACTGCCTCTTCTACTACTTACTCTTCTTCTTCGGCGGTAACCAAATAGCAAATATATAAGAAATAATAAAATTATGATTCAAACTATTTCATGAAGCTGAAAGAACATTTATTCTCACTAATTAATAGTAATACAGCCTTTTATGTGATATTCTTAGCTTCCGTACGCTTATGGCATATTATTTAACTAGTAATTAATATAATGTGATTTGCTTACGTATAAAGGTATTATAATATACTCACTCTTGCATGCCGCACATGGCGTCCCACAAGTTGGGCAGCGGGCTCGAACGCCCCCAATCGCCATCCCCAACTTCCACTTTCGGTAAAACACATTTTTAATGTGTTTTTTCAGCTTTTTCCCTGTAAATAATTCAAAATAAACAATTACCCCTTCAGCCGTATTGCCCAGCACACACACACACATGCACACACACGCACACACACTTCTCTTATATCGTCTCCATAAAAAATCTTGTTTAGCGCTAGTTTTTTTGATAAAGATTTACTTATGCATATGTAAATTCGTTATGAAAACCTAGAAATGGGCAAAGAGGGGTCCGCAGGCGTCCGGGGGACCGGATCTGATAAATTTTTCATTCTAGACATCAAAATTACTGCTCAGATGCTTTCAGAATGCACCATTTTTAAATCTCGGGGAAGTCTCTCCCCTTCCCTTAAGTGGCCTTCGGCAGCTTTTTAAAACACCAGAAAAAGTAAGCAGGAAAAAGTGCCCTTTATTTCTTCCTGGACACCCCATTTTCAAAAATCCTGGATCCGCCCCTGATATAGTAGCTACTATTCTGCGGATATCGGGACACGGCTAATCTAGAACCCTGACATGGTGGCAATTTTTTTAGATCTACGACATAATATAAAACACGATTTATGTAAGAAAAAAATACAGCTCAACAAACTAATTACTAACCGTGCAATTCAGGATCCACATCTTTTTTTAATTCCTCGTAAAGCATCGATGGGGTCACTTCCAAACCATCAGCCAGCATAGCTCTAAAGCGCTTTTCAAAAAGTTCTCGATAAATCGTAAAGGCCATTGAAGTATGTATCGAAATGCTTCACTTCGAAGAGGCAAGCGGCTTTAATAGCGGTATCTTATTGTGAATGCGACATTGACAGTCAGACAGCGGCATTTCTCTTATAAGTTCACCGCGAACCAATTGGGGCCGTGCGGCAAATCTTGGATTCGATTGTCACAGACGCCGTCTTTTTTTCGCTGCCTGCGGTGCTCGCTTTGAAGTCTGTCTGAAATGCACTATATATAATGAGTGTATAGGCTTACTTAGCGATCACATGCGATTTGTGACTCACCATGAATGGACCGTGGCCGAACTTGAGAGGTATATCTTAATTATATTATTTTCTTAATTCCTTACTTATTCACGCCTTATTACTTCTTCATGCCTTATACTGATATTTATTATCCATTGGTGATGAAATATTGAGTAAAATGATTACAAATCAAACGTTGGAGAGATTTGTAATATGTGTTTCTATGTTTATCTATGCTGTAGCTAGTTAGTGCTGTATAATATTATGTTTAGATGTGGGCGCGTTTTGCGCGTGTGTATGCGTGAGTGCGTACATGTGCGTGCATGTGTGCGTGCGTGCATGTGCACGTACACGTGCGTGCATGAGAATGTGCGTGCGTGCGCGTGTGCGCACGTACACGTTCGTGCGTTCGTACGTGCGTGCGTGCGTGCGTGCGTGTGCATGTACACGTTCGTGCGTGCGTGCGCGCGTAGGCAGGTACACGTTCGTGCGTGCGTGCATGCGTGTGCACGTACACGTGCGTGCATGCGTGCGTGTGCATGTACACGTGCGTGGGCGCAAATACACTTTCCTACCGATCAATATGGCGGCACCCGACTCCGAACCTCCTGCCCGCGCCCGCCTCTACTGTCTCTACGGGGCGCATTGTATACAGCTGTTAACCCCCCCTCCCCCCTCCCCCCGCACACATCATATCTCGCGATCTATATGAGATACGTTTCTAGAATTTTGCATGCATAATGACACATGTCTTAGTAATAATCACTGTGAGTTTCAAGTTAATTGACCCACAATTAACCTAATTAATTAGCAATTATGCACGCGCGCTAATGCCCATAGGCTATTATACGCATATCTCGTGAAGAAGTTGAGTTGTGATTCTAGAATTCTACATTCCTAATGAGACATGTCTTAGCTATAATCACTGTAAAATTTTTTTGCAGAATGCAGCGTAAAGCAGTAAGCTGTTTCTCGCTGTTTCTATCTGAGCTGTTGTTTCCTTCCTGTTGAGTTCCTTCCTTTGCTCCGTGTAAACGCGGCTATTGTGTTATAAATAATTTTTTTTAAACAATTTTATGACCTTGCCTATAACTTTTTTCTCACTCAATGATATAAACACACTTCAAATTCATACTAAATATGCTTTGCGAAC